TGGTAGCTAAAAGTGGTCGGCAAAAATGCTTTTTCTTGTAGTGTTGGGGTGCGTGCTTTGATTGTTTTCCCATGAGTATTGGAAAAATCTTGTATTGCAAAGATTCATAGAATGACAAGGCTGCCTTTAAGAAGTATTTGTGCCAGATAGAGAACCACACTGGATGAAATAGATTAGACATGCTAATCCTACTACATATAAATTTGTTATCTATTATTTTGGAGGTTGACCCTTCATAAATTCTTCCTTAAAGGCATGTGATTCATACGTACCATATAAGCATGAGGATCATGTCTTTTATGTCAAAAAATTTCACTTTCACATCTGGTATTTTCTATTAATTTTGGGCAGGACTCACAAATGAAGTCAGGATCCAGGCAAGATTCTTTTGAAGGTTCGGCTGTAAGAATGTTTCTTTCAATTTCAGTGACTAAATTTTGCAGTTTTTTTTCGATGATTTTAATGAAATTTTTTTGCAATGCCGTTGTCACAGCTGAAGCATCTCAGAATGGTGGAACTATGCATGGTTCTCAGAATGGAGGACCAAATACACCTCCAATGATGGTGAACCAAACAATGCCCATCATGCCAATGGCAGCAGCAGGTGCTCCATGTGTACCTGGTCCCACCACAAACTTAAATATTGGTATGGACTACTGGGGTGCTGCAACTTCTTCCACTCTTCCTGCACTGCATGGGAAGGCACCTCCTACTCCAGTTGCAGGAGGAATGGTCACTGCTGGATCACGGGACAGTGTTCAGTCACAGCTTTGGCTACAGGTCTCTCTCTCTCTCTCTCTCTCTCTCTATCTCATTTCCTTTCTTTTCTGCCTGTAATTTCAATTATTTAATCCATTGCACTTGCTTTACTCTTAATGTCTTAGCATCTAAATTAAATATTCTTAAGACTTTAAACATTTGCTTTGTGCCTGACCTTTGGTAATCATATTGTTTGTTGGAAAGGTTAAAGAGAGTAGGGATTTGGGTCTCCCCCCAACATCTCCTTTCTTTTCCACCCATCCACTCTGGATCACAAGATGGCTTGCTTTTGAAGAAGATATCTTCCACTTTTCGTTTAACCACTATATGGTTGCATGCATAGTAGTATAAGATGTGATCTAGGTACTTGCTTAGAGGGTTATGAAAGATCCTAAAATTTTAGTTAGACTTGATTTGTCACTGAATGTTCAATTATCTTGGAGGAACATGATTTTCACTTATAATCTTGATAGACAAATTTATTGTTCAGTTTTCAATTTTCGAATGTTGTACTTGAAAGTATTTAGTCTAATCAAATAGGAGGGTATGTTGGTCCTAATGAAATGTGTGATAAAAATCCCAAAGTAAACTCGACCACCATGTCATATCACATTTAAACTGTGTGATTTGTTGTCATGTCCCTTTCATGTCGTGCCTTCTTCATTTTTTTTTTTTTAGTTGAACTTTTGAATGTGATATGAGATCCACTAAAATTATTACCAAGCTGTTGATTAAAGACTGTAAAAGATCAAGAATGTCTTTAGTTATTGAGTAGGAAAATTAACATGGAAAGTTTTTGTTACATTAGCAGACGTTTGTAGCTTTCTTAAAGGTGTCAAGTCTCTGTACAATGTTTTATACTGCATCTCCTTTAGATATAGAGATGGAAGTACAACAATGACATGTAGTGCCAACATTTATACATTTAGATGTAGGCAGATAGACTGACCCAACATAAATGAACAAAAAGTACACACAGACACACATTTTTCGTGAAAAAGTAATTTCCCTTCTAACGAACCTAGAGGACCGGGAAGCGAGGTCCTAAAGTCTATATGTCCTTGCTACTGCATTTTAAGGTAAAGGGAGGAAGGCTAGGGCATCCATTTCAATAATTCTTTGACACACCCCTTGTCTCTTATTCGTGCTGCTCTTTACATGACCTGTTCTAGCTCTATGTTTGGTCTCATCCAGTTTCCTGCTCTTCAAGGTAACAACTAGATGCTTGCGGTCTTATTACAGAAAGAAAGGATGCTTAACACTATACTTGGTTTTTTCTTCAAGCGGTTCCAAAATACCTTCAAAGAAGATTTACTCCCTACACCACACACACAGAGCAACGGATATATGAGCTGAATAGTTCCAACAATCAAATAACAAAGAACCACACTTTCATAAACCTTTTCTGTGATCAATAAAATACCAGAAATATACTACTAAAAAAAAAAAAAAAAACCAATTACTTGAAAGGATTATAACCGAAATCGCAACTGAGATAGGAGAGGATCAAATATATAAATGAGATTGACTTAAAACAAATATACATAACCGCTAAATTCGGTGGCAAATTATATGAAGTTTTAAGAGTAATGGTGGCAATTCCAATCTGAACAAGTGCAATTAGAATCAATATATTGTCATTTAAGGGAAACATAAAAAATTTAAAAACCTATAGAACCTTGATAAAAAGAAAATCAAATCTACATCTAATTTCATAAGCAAATCAACAATCTGATTATCACTTGCAACTCCTGAAGATTTCCTGTTTATTACGCCCTTGTCGCTGTAGCTTCTAGATATTCACTATAAATATTCGTCGTTTTAAAACCCGTGACAACCTCTGTTTGGCAAAAAAGTATCTTTCTTAAATTTAGAATTGTCTGATACAACAATTCTCGCTCTCTATGACTGCTTTAAAAAAAAAATTGCAAAGGTGATATGCAAATGCACAAACGAAGTTAAAAATTCTTTCCAAACCCAATTAGTTTTAGATAAGAATTGTAACACTCAATTGGACCAAAGCGTGCGAAAGAGTGATAGGGTATAATGTACTTAATATTTGCGTAACTGATTCATAGGTTCTACTACTTGATCGTAATAAAGATCAAATGTTCATCAAAAAAACAACACAAAACTCCAAACCAAAGTCAGAAAACTATGGGTTCACATTACTAGACCATGTCCAAAGTCATTAATTAACAACTGCTAGAGGATTAGTCCTTTAACTGTATTTAAAACAATGAGAACGAGAAGCCAGAGCAGAACCATCGCCAAGAGTTAACAAAATCCAAAAGAGGTTTAAAAAACAAAGCGCTGTGGTTGATGATGGTTTTTGTTATCATTTGAAAAAACAGTAAGGTTCAGCTGGAAAACTATTCCTGCGGTAAGTCATGATGGTTTATCTGGAAACATGAGGTAATGGCATCTCTTTATGGCACACAACCAGATCCTGATGGAGCTGGTGGAGGTCATCAACCGGGCTGCTGCTATGAATTAAGCCTTCACTCAAACAGTGGTTTTTCATGAGGATCCAGTTCTGAATTTGTGGGCTGCTGCTGGTATAGAGTTGAAATGCCCTATGCGTCTTGTGCTGCTGCTGTGTGTCACACGGGGAGTTTGAAACCTGCTGCTGGATTATGTTTTGGGGGACTGCGCAGAGGGGTTTCTTTGCTGAATTTGTGTTGGTTCAGTATTGTTTCCTGTTGGTGGATAGTTAATATGCAAAGGGGTGATTGTTGCCGATTGCTTGATCTTAGGAATGTTTTGTTGTTGATTTGGGTTTTTGCAGTCCTCTGGGAGGGGACTTGTTTAGAGATTGGTTTTTTTCTTCTTTGGCAGGAGTGTAGAATCAATTTTGCAACCTAAGGATTATGCAAGTGAATGTTCTTATTTTTTCATTTAAATTTTGGTCACCTAGGCTTTATGAAGCTGATTTTCTTTGATTAAATGTGTTCTTCGTTTATGAAGTGAATGTTCCTGTTTCAATTAAATTTTGCCACCTCGCGTAATTAAATATCACTGTACCTACATATTTTTAGCGTTCACCATATTACATAATCGCAAGTTTTTCTGATTTGTTGCAATTGATTATACGGATAAATAATTGAAATAGGGAATAAGTTATAGGCATGCATATCCCAGAATTTGTGGAAAAGAAGTGTAACGTGTTACATAAAGATGGAATGCAGAATGAAGAAGAAATGGAGACAGACTGTGGATGCGGGACACTAATCCCTAAGCTCATCCATACAAGGAATCAAATTAGATATTGGGAAGTTTGATTGATGAGTATGGTCGATCTGCAATACATAGGTATGTTTATTATTTTAGTTTATGATAATAATGAATTATTATAACACCGGCTCTGTGAAATCAATATAGAAGAAGGGATCAAATTAATCTACCTATAAAAAATAAGTATTTGACACGCTTCACAAGGCTTCCTTACGTATACTGTTATCATTGTTTAACTAATATATGTCACAAACAACAACAAATGTGGGATTTTTGTATGTAATCTGAACCCCAAAAAATCAGAGTTCTAGTTTTCTTAACTATATATGTAAAAACCCGTACAATGTGGATTTTTTGTAAGCGTCGCTACGCACGCCGCAAAAAAAATAGGAGCAAGCACCTACAATCAACAAGTGGGTCCGTCTTTTCCGGCAAGCAATGGGAGTATTGCGGTGAGATTATTTCAATTGATTTTATTACTTTATCCACACTGTTTCAACTGAATTAACCATATTACGAAGGAGTGTTTCTATTTGGTGTTTGGCAAGTAACAGGTGAAGGAAAATGGTGGATGTGCCAAGATCCTGTAGATTTCTACAGAGGACAATCTCAACACAGAGGAACAAAACAGTGGATTGATCTATAATACTGCGGTGATTACATGCAAGTATTCCAATATAATTGGACACTTATACAATGCAACTTTTGGTGTTTGGTGCTTATACTTAAACAATATTATATTTTAAATTATAGGAACAAATGACAAGGGTGCGGGATGATCCTATCGCAGCTGGAACCCGAGAGCAAAGAGGATATATCAAGACTGTTTTCTTTGGTAAGAAGAAGGGATACTAAGAGGATATTTGGGCTTGACAAGAGCCTTCCTTCTTGTATTCTGGGTTTCGGCTGCAATCACAAAGCAACGTGACGAGCAATTGAAAAGCTTACATCCAGTGTAGGAGAATGACTGCGTGCGAGCACAAGGCAACCGTGAGAGACAAAAAAGAAGAGGAGCAACAAATGGAGAGGCAGAGAATACAAGACAACCGTGAGGAGATGCAGCAGCAGCTTTTGGAGTTCAGAGCATCTTGGCACAATTTTGGAATCGAAATCACGCAAAATTCTCGACAATAGATGGCTCAATGGGTAATTGGTAAGCTGTGTAAACCATATTTGATTATATTTTGTTCAAATTAAAGCAAATAAACCGTTTGTGAGAATATCTCAGACAAATAGTATTGTCTTTAAATCTAATTTTAGTTCTAAAATTGAAAGATGAGAATTACAGAATCGCTTATGTTGACTCAGAAAAGAAACTTTAAATGCATTCGTAGTTCCCACTGATCGAAAGGATGAATGTAAAGGGGACCAGAATTTGTGAATGTTCCATGAACCAAAATGTGAGAAAAAAGAAAAAACACCGGTTGGGGAATATTGTTGGAAACAGCCTGGAAACAACCCGAAACTGTTGCGCCTTGCCTCGCCTAGTCAAAAACAAACTTGTGAAAGAACAAGCGCTCGATAGGACGCATGAATTAGTTATTAGGACATAAACGTGTGACAAAGTAGGCAAAACCGGGCGTTTGGGGGTTCGAACTGTTGTAAATTGGCTCTCCTATTTCTTCTTTTTTGCCTTCTTTCTTTCCTTTGGTGGTATGGCATGTGAAGTTTGCATCAATATAGATCATGTCAGTTGGCTGCTGTGTATTTCAATCAGCAGCAGATTTGGTGCATGTGCTGCGTTTGCTTAGTGTAACATTGGTCAAACAGTTGTGGTCTCTCCTCTCTATTTCTTCTTTTTTATTCTTCTTTTCCTTTAGTGGTCCTGCCTGATCTGTCTGGCTTTCATAAGATCATTCCTGATCTGTCTGGATGGGCAGCAGATGATCTGTCTGCCCTTCAGTGTGTGCTCCAGCTTCTAAACTGGTGTAATATATTCTGTATCTGTCTGGTTTTTCTGAGCTGTCAATCAAAAATCCTGTCTGTGTGGATGATGTGTTTTTGGGAAGCAACTGTGGTATAATATTCTGAAATTATTTATTTAATTAATTTTGTTTCGATAAAAATGTCGAATTTCATCAATGCTTTGATATTACAATGTTTTACAAAATGCAAAA